AAAGGTCTACTATCTAGAATATACAAAGAAATCAAAAAAGTCAGACCCCCCCAAATATAAAGACCTGATTCAAAAATGGGAATCTGAAATGAACAGACATTTCTCAGACAAAGAAGTAAAGCAGCAAATAAATATATGAAAAAATCTTCAACATCACTGGTCATTTGAGAGATGCAGATGAAAACAACACTGAAATTCCACTTCACCCCAGGAAGAATGGCTGCTATCAAGAAATCAACCAATAACAAATGTTGGTGGGACTGTGGGGAGAAAGGAGCCCTTCTCCATTGTTGGTAGGAGTGTTGAGTGGTACAACCACTGTGGAAATCAATATGGAGATACCTCAAAGAACTAGGATTAGAGGACCCATTTTACCCAGCTATCCCTTTGCTGGGTATGTTTCCAAAAGAATTAAAAGAATCATACCACAGTGATATATGCTCACCCATGTTTATAGTGGTACAGTTTGTAATAGCTAAAACTTGGAAATAGCCCAAATGCCCGTCAACTAGAGACTGGATAAAGAAGGTTTATTTTTTTAATCAAATGGAGTACTACTCAGCCGTAAAGAATGAGAAGCTAAAGACAATTATAGCTAAATAGATGCATATTGAGCCCATACTCTTAAGTGAAATAAATAGGACACACATGTGTAAATACCTAATAGTTTCTCTTTTGTGATAAACTAAAAGTGTAAAGAAGGTTCAAATGGTATAATTGATAGTGTGAAATAGGAAGTAAAGGTCTAAAGGAGTGGGGGAAATGGGAAAGGTAGGGGAAAGGAAAGAAGGGAAAAGAAAAAAATATGAGAAAAGAAAAAAATGGAAACAAAGTCTTTGTAAATAGGGAAGGGTGGAGGGGGTGAAGGGAGGAGGGCAGGGAAACAGGGAAAAAATAAGAACAAAGATACACCATGTAAGGTACAAGATCCCAAGGAGAAATGTAACTGTATTTTATACCTAAATTGTACCAATAAACTTAATGAAAAAAAAAAAGGTGCTTCCTTATCTGAAGAGAAAGACATAGTTAGGATCTTGTCCTTATACTGCCAAGTGGGTACCTTCATTCACTTATTGCTTCTCTCCAGGCCTGTTTTCTGGTTTGTAAAATGGAAAAGATAACAATAGCAAGCTCAGAGATTTGTCCTATGGATTTAATGAATTAAGATTTATGACACACTTATTAGAGAACCTGTGGAGATAACCTCCTTAACTTTTGACCAATGAGTTTTAATTCCATGGAAAAGAATACCATTGGTATTTATCACTATTACTCACAGTCCTATTGTAACATTTGACATATAGTTACAAACATAGACATTTAACAAATATTTGTTGAAGAAATTAAGAAAGTTAAAGATTTTAGCATCCCTCAATTGACAATCATTCATTTAGTTAGTACTGAATTTTTGGAATCCTTTCTGTAGTTCGATGGTGTTCACATATTTTTGTGCATACCATTACCATCTGTTGTCTATTACTAGTGTAATTTTGATATTAACCCCTAATAAGAAAAATATAACTATAATATGAAATCAATCACATTATTGCTATTTTCTTCCCTATAATTATGTTCACTTTGTTAATTTTTGGTGCAAATCCCTATTTTTATTACCAGAATGTTTTTCCTGCTTTTCACACATAGCCAAGCTTACCTATACCATGGCTGTAATTTGTTTTTAAAGCCAGTGGAGCCTACACATAATCTAAATGAGACTATTTTAATATCTTTCATTGATATATTATGATCTACCCACATACTATCTTTTTGAATATTCTAAAAGAAGAATAGAAATAAAAATTTCAATCTTTATCTTTCTCAGTGAACATTATAAAAGCTGTCAATTAAAATGACCCATTGTTTGTTACATGTAATTTCTGATAAACCAAAAATGTCAATTATGATGCACAGTGTGGATGGTGCTTTTTCATTTTTTTTTCTTTTTTTACATTTTCTTTTTCTTATTTGGGTGTTTGTAAAAGAAAATTTGATGTTATTTCATATAAAGGAAGAACAAAATATATGGTGAATGTTTCAATATTTAAAAAAATTTACAGCATGTTAGGTTTTTCACCCTCAAAATTCTCTCCCTCACTTCAAGCATATTTATCCCATTGGTCCTGCTACTTTTTAAAGGAGTTCTGGAGTCCACTTTCATATGTGTCATTTCTAGGAGTGGTCAAAAATGAAAATATATAGGTTTTATTGACTGCTATTCAATGTTTTCACGCTGCTGGAAAAATTCCTAGCTATAGATGTAGATGATACACATAAATGTTTCTCACATTGATCTCTTCTAATTAAATTCAATAAACTATCTGCTCAGAAGTTTGCTATACACTGAAACACCTTTGTTTCTATGTCAGTGTGGGAATAATTCAAGTCTTAATGTAAAATGGAATCTATTAAGCTGCACATTTCAGACAGTAAATAAGATATAAAATATCTGCTATTGTAAAATAGTCTAAGATAACATTTCTATAACAAATCCAATTATATACCATTGAGCATCCTAAAACCCAGATGTGGCCCTTTCCACTCATTGATAGAATATAGAATTCTTCATGAATAATAAGCCCAACATCAGAAGCTGGTTTCGTACGAATTCTAATTGGTAGATATTGTCTGTGTTTCAAATTGGGTAAATAATGATATTAGCTACATTTCATGTTATATACATATTAGTAACAATGATATGTTTGCAAAGCAACAGAAATATTTTGTTAATGCTAATGGGTGTAATATACATGCAAATTATCTTGCTTTTCTTTCCTTTAAAATGATAGGTATTAAAAGTCAATGTGTCATCACTTATTTTGGTGAAATCTGTACTACCCACTGTTGCTTTTAGAGCTCCATTTTTTCAAAGTTGATAATTACATTTGTAATGCATAAGGAGCCTAAAATTGGACACATGCTTTTATTTTTCCATATTGTCTCTTCTTACTAAAACATTTGATGGTGATATTTTTTTGTCCAAAAATCAATCTTGGGGTTTTCCTTGATTACAGATTGTATTAATGTTTGCTTTAGACTATTTCTGAGTATTAGAGAAAACTGAATAGAGACCATTCTATGAAAGACTGCAACTTCTTAGATAGACACCTCTGTATACTGTATGTTTTTTAAAAAGCAAGAAGGAAAATTTCAGACCAATTTATTCTTATCCAATGCTTATTTTTCTCTTGTCTCAGATCCCCAAATGTGGGAACAAACTTTTGTCTGTACATTTACTGAACTATTGAACTAATTTTAATCTTATTGCTGATATTTTGTTTGTCCCATCAGTTCATAATCTTAACATGTTCAAAGAGTACAGGTTATTTTATGTAACGTTCCTCAGCTTAGGTTTGCTGATGTTTCATTGTCATTTTTACATTTCCAGGAAGAATATCACATAAATGATATTGTTTATCCTCACAATGTCAATGTGTTCCATTACTGCTGATGTTAACTTGTAGTCTAAATGCTATCAGATTTATTCCTTCTCAAGTTAAAAATGAATATGTTGGCACCAAACCCTATGAGGCATGATGAAAGTAGTTCTAAGAGGGAAGGTAATAACTGTACATGCACACATAAAAATAGTATAGTGAAACAATGTGATATTTGCAGATATGTGTTTCATTTATTTCACTTAAGAGTATGGTCTCTAGGTGCATCCATTTAGATATAAATCTCAAGTTTATCCTTCTTTATGGGTGAGTAGTACTCCATTGTATAAAAAAACTCATCTTCTTTATCTGTTGATTGGTTGTGGGGCATTTGGATTGTTTCCAAGATTTAGCTATTACAAACTGCTGCTATTAACTGAAATTGTGAAAAAGGACCAAAATTTATAATAAATAATGTGAAATAGGAGGAAAAAGTTCAAATAGTAGGATGGGGCACTAGGAAGGGGGGAGGAGGAAAGGAAGAAATAAAAAAGGGAAAAAATAAGAAAAGAAAGATAAAATGGAAACAAAGCTTTTATAAATAAGTAGAAGAAAAAAGGTTGAAAGGAGGGAAGGGAAATGGGAAAAAGTAAGAAAACATTTCACATACAGATACAAATTCTATATGATGAATGTAATCATTATGTACCAATAAACTTAATTAAAAATAAAAATAGAGTGATCTTAAATAAATAACTTAATGATATATCTCAAGGTTCTAGAAAAATAAGAATAATCCAAATCTGAAACTAATAGAAACTACAGAGATCAGAGCAGAAATTAATGAAATTGAGACCAAAAAAAAGGGGGATCAATGAACCAAACAGTTAGCTCTTTGAAAGGATAGGAAGGGAACTCAGGGGATAGAGGAGACAGGAAAGAGAGGCGGTCAAGGGGAAATAAAAAAAGGGGATCAATATGTGATATGTGTTCCAAGTTCGATTCCCGGTACCAAAAAACAAAGTGGTATGTGTATGTACCAGTTCCCCCACAATGAATGCACTTTTTATATATTGCAAAAATATACTAATAAAATTATTGAAGATAAAAACATTAATTCCAATATATCCATGAATCCTTTATCTTTCTACTCCTCTTTGCTCCTTTGGGGTCGGACATCTACATATAATCATATGCATGGTTCTTTTGACTTTCTAGCATTGGAAATTATCATCTTGGTTCAGAACCCTGTTGTTTGGTCATCAAAAGTGCTAAATAAGACAAGATGTCTTATTACATCTTGTACAAAGCCACAGACTAAACAATGTGAAAATTGGCATGTATGTCTCCAAAGTCAAATTCAGTTTTTAACAATATGTTGACTTTTCAAAATACACAGTAAGTAGTTACTTTCTTATTCATTTATCAAGTTGGCATTATACCATCAAGCACTGAAATAAACAGTAAGTCAAGTTATAGTGTAATAATTATAATAATATAATAGTATTTTATGTATGCATGATTTAGTAATGTTTAGGGTGAAAATAAGCAGTTATTATTTGTAGATATTGAATAACCTTACTTGCATTACTTATATACTTTCTTCTTAGAGTATTTCTCTTGGAGGATGGAAGCCTCAAGATACATAATGTTACCAGATCAGATGCTGGGCCATATACATGTATAGCAACAAATCAGTTTGGCATTGCAAAGAACACTGGCAGTCTCATCGTAAAAGGTAGTTTATTCTCTTCATTTGTGCTTCATTAGATGAGAAATGAGTATCATGATACCTATTACTAGTATGAAATTTATGTCATGGGATAGGTGTAAAATATTTGATAAGTTATTTAGGAGTTCTGTTACCATTACCATATTCATTAACAGGATACATGTTTTGCCAGTAGAGTACCATGATAGATATAAATACTTTGTCAGATGAAAATTCTGTTGGTGTGTAATTTGGCAGAGTTAAAACCTACACCTGATGTATTTGCATGCTCACAGATTCATTAGTAGATGGGGCCATGGACATTTTGATAAAGTCACTGCATAATATACTTTTGGTTGAAGATCATTTAGAAGTTCTCATTTTGTATGGAATGGATATATATATATATGTATAAACATATATATGAATATATATATATACATATACATATATATGTACAGTGGTGCCTCAGTTTATGAACTTAATCATTTTACAATTTTGGGGAAGATGGCTGCATTTGTATTGGTGTAGAGAGGATGGCCATGGTCATGTTTGCCATCCAATACAGAATTTGCAAACAGAAGGAAAAATTTGCTGAATGTTTTTGTTTGATAACCAAGTTGTTTGCAAATAGAAGCATTTGTGAGCCAAGGTATTACTATATATAATATAAACTACATATGTATTTTAGACAACTTATATATATGGCTACCAAATGCATAACCAGTTAATTATTTGTTTACCTCCAAGCCCATAAGTAGTGAAACACAAAGTCTCTTGTATTGACTCTAGTAATCAATTTTTTCTAAAGGCAAAGAATTAAAATCACAGTGTCCATATGAGTCATTATTATATTCTCTTTACAGCAAACAGATAAGCTCATGTAATTTGGGATGGTAAAACTCCCTACTCTTTTAAGACTTTTAAACTATCGTCAATCCAAAAGTACCCACATTTATCACCAAGGGACATAATTAGTATTAGAATTGCCTATGCTCCATTTTTGCTACTTTATGAATCTCAGCTCATAAAACTAGTATATTTACTGGGAGTCATGTCACTTCTGTCATTTTTTGTCTCCTGGATGATAAAAATGACTAACTTGATAGAGCAAACTGAGCAGCTAATTAAGCCCAAATGATTAAATTTGGCAATTGTTACTTTCTTATCTTTTCTATTAAAAATAAATATATTCATTAAAAAATAGTCAGCTCCTAGACTTCAGCTATTATTTAAACTGTTTCATGGAAAATAAATAGCCACCTTTATCCCTAGAAGATATTTCTGCAAACTTGTCTCAAGCATATTGCATTATGTCAACAATTCTCTGAAACACTCTGAGGAAATGTGACTGATAAAACTTGATGTGTCAAAATTCATCCAGTGTGACACATTTTGGAAAAAAAATCACTTCCTTATGATTGTATTGTCCTCAGTTTTTAGAACAGAGATGGACTTAGTGTTTCACAATATATGCTATGGCTATTTTCAATCACAGGATATTTCTCTGGTAATTTCTGCAATACTTATATACAAAAGAGTGTGAATCTTTTATATTTGAAGAAACAATGTATCTAAAATAGAATAGAAGAGAGATTTATTGCAGCATTTCATATTGGGATGTAGGTAGTATACATTTATTTATTACAGCAACAAATTGAAACATGGTAGAATTAAGTCTTCCAAGTATAGACAATTCCAGGGGCATTAAAATATGAAATAGGAAAGGCAGCAGAAATCACTAGTAGAAATATATTCTCTAAAGATAACTTTATAGAATAGTGATCACTTATATCATATTATTCAGAATACTATACCATTGTTTTGTTGCTAAAATATGATACTGAGCATCCCTTCACTCTAAAGACCATAAATAAACCCCAACAAGTTATTGAATAGATTAAACTGAATTAATAGTTTTCCTTCCTCAAATTTTTCATAATCCTTTGACACCACATTACTCATTGCAATATTGCCTGAGAAACTTGGAAGCATTTGGGCTATGCTTTGTTCTAAGGACTATGGATGTTTCAGACACAGTAATGTTGCCATGCTTTCTATGAGACAGGTTCCTTGTCCTAACAATGGAAGTAAGTTAGTCAATATTTTAGGATATTTTATAAAGAACACTATAACCCCCAAGTACTCTGCTCTCCCTACAAGGAGGAAAATAATTAAATTATTCAGTTTAAATTATGTATATATTTAAACTATACATATAGTATATCTATATATCTATATATAGTGACTTAGTTTTAGCATTCTTTGCTAGGGCTAACAAAACAAAATATCTCAATCTGTATTGTTGATCATCTTCATTTGTCCTACTCATTCTTCTTCTGTAGTGCATTTCATTTTCACCTAAACTATATAATTTACCTATTTATTATGTTTACAGTTTTCTGTCTTCCCTTCCCTTCCAGAACAAAAACCATAAGCAGGACGGGAATTTTTGTCTGCTTTAACCAGTAGTGAACCACAAGTACTAGAACATTGTCAGGAACTATATATGCCCAATAAATATTGATTGAGTCAATGAAAGATCATTAATTACACCCCTTAATTCACCAGGATAATTTCCATCCTGACCTCTTTGTTCTAAAATCTAACATTTTCAAGTTTTCAATATTTAAATGTCTTGAAATGTTAGATTCATGTAAAAAATAATTTTTGAGTGCCTTTGCTTTCCAGCATTTTAAGATTTGTAGTTATACATTTCTAATAGACATCAAACTCCTTACTCTGGTAAGGAAGTAAATATGAAGATACATGAAAATCCTACAGACTTCAAAAGCAGAACTTCCTGTTCTGGTATTTATAAGGCCACATCAGAGGGTAATTTACACATACAAAAAAGCACTTGTTAATATAAATGATGTCCTTAGGTATGACATAAAGTAATTTTCGCTCATTTATATTTAAACATAGAAAGGAAATTTGGGTTGGTTATATTTTAACTGTCATGAAATATCCACATCCTATTTAAAGTATTTTGGAGTCTTTTGCTTTTTTGTCTTTGGCAAGAGCCACCCTACACAATATGAACAGATATACTTAACTATACAAATATAAATAGAAAGAATAACTATTGTGTGTACAGTATGAATAAAAACATATATAAAACTGTGCCTTATTATTTATCATTAATCTTTATTAAGTTTTGTGCCTGTCGTGCACAACCTCTAAAATAAACTACTATCTCTAATTCCCTTTCATGCTGAAATGCTGAAAATATCACTGCCAAGGAATTATTATTTTACAACCTCAAATCGTCTGGGAAAGAATAATAACAGTGTGTATTCATTCAACCATTTTCTTGATTACTGAGTGTACAACCATCTGGTTGTTAAGATGGCATAATATTTGTGTGTGTGCACATGAGTGTCTTTTCCTCATGTATTATGTTGATTTGATTGTCATTACGGAGACGAATATAATTTTGTTTTCAAAACAAAAGCAGCATATAGTAACCTTAACAGTAATAGAGTGGTAAGGAGCAAATGAGAAATTTCACTAAAGCTGATAAAACAATCATCTCTCTTTGAATTTACTTATCAGCATCAGTCATGCAAGAAATGTTGTTGTTAGATAACATGTAAAAAGATAATAGTTACAAGAATAAGATATTTTCTGGCTTAGTTTTTAGCTGATATGGCTTATCTGTGTTAAGAGGATTCTGAAGTTATCTGCACTGTATGTGGGAAATTTCTACTTCACTAATGCAGCAGGATAAAGCAATTTTCCATTCAAACATTGCAAGTACAATTAGCAGCAGCCTTGCCAGATTCTCGCAAGTAGCCCAGTTCAATCTGAGGACATGTTCCATAGGCACAGAAGATTGAAAGGAAAAAGAATTTAGGGGTTTTCATTTTGGAGGACTTTGATTAAAATTACATTTTATACATACACTAAGAGGTATATGAAAATCACATAAAAGGGGAAATTATTTGATCTGGCATTTGGAAAATTATTAAAAAGCAGAGTAACAGCAGGCTATACAAATGATCTTGTTTGCAGGCAACATTTGTTTTTGTTTCCCCACTGGAGAAGTTTCGGATGTTCAATTACAGGCCTCATTGCTTCAGCATTATTTTCAACTGAAATGTCGGAACTTGGAAAAGCATATCTAATGTGCAAATTAAGTTTATTGTCGCTCATTTAGTTGTTTATTCTTTGTGATAGAAGTCTTTATTATACCAGCATACCGAATGGCCTATTCGTTTTTCTCCAGCAGAATGAGAGAACTCCCTAATATTGGTTTACATTTACCAAGAGAAATACCAAAGACAGATAGATAATTGGAATCTTTGTGGCTTTAAAAGGCAGTTTAAAGGCTTTGAGGTGTCCAGCCCAGCTTTATCAAGAAGCCCAGCTTCACTGAGTAAACCAACAGTACAGTTTCAGAAAAATGACAAGACATGTTAGAATGCATTTGTTGTATTATACAGGGTGAAAACACCAGAAAAGTCTCATAACATCTTTCTAACATCTCCCCAAAATATTCAGCTTCACACTTCAGTTACCTATGGAGAATGATTTAAAGCATTTGATTAAAAGACTTTATTTTAAAAATTATTGATAGTGAAAATTATTTTTAAGGTGTGCTATCTATAATGAATTATTAAACTGTTCAGAATTAAAGTTTTCTTTCCCATTCCAATACTGAGAAAAATTCTGAGTGAGTTCTTGAAACTTGAATACCAAAGTTTTTCAATAAAAATATGAAAACAACCAACCAAAAATATATCAGCTTAAGGAACCACACTAATATCAATGTTATTTTCATCTTTGGACAATTTAGTCCTTTAAGCAGTGGAAGACATATCATTCAGGTTAAATTTCTAAGTATGCCAAGCAGGTGGTTTTAATTTTCCCTTAAAGTATATTATATAGTATACAATGTACTGTATAGTACATAATGTACAAGATAGGTACTAATGCATTCTAAGGACTTTTTATTACTCAAGCCATATTTTACCATACAGATGAAACCTATTATTAAGA